AATTACTAATTTTTATATATCATTGTGCATATCAAAAAATAAAAATTAACATAATATGACTTCACATTTTTTTTTATGATGTAATGACTACAAATTGACATCAGAATGAAGTTGAGCATAAAGATAAACCATAAACACGTGGACCAAAACACGCGACTTTTTTTTATTATACTAGATATTCGAGATTCTGACGCCATTTTTTGGAGATAGTATGTCATAAAAATAAGAAAACGATGTCAATATGTGTAAATGTTCCAACTCTTCAATGTTATTAAACTTATTTCGGTGAAATGTGAAATATTCAGCAAGCACAACTCAGAACTTTTAAATGCCCTTGGTATTTCTTTCCATCAAATGAATTCAAACTCTATAACATGACATGTTATTCAATTAATACATTTAATAGTAAAAAAAATTCCTTAGTTAATAACAATGTCGACTTACCTCCTCGAATCCTGGAACAATGAAACATGCTTTATTAGGCAATTCCTCAGGTAACTCTGTTTATTCAAACAAGTCCTCTGAAAGTAATTTCAAAATGATATTCGGGTCCTTATTTATTTTGGTCAAAGGTGTGTCAGGGCATACTTTCTCCTCCAAGGCACCAGATCCTACTTCTGGAATCATCGATGGTCCGTATTTATGCCTATGTCTCATATTTGTATTGTTTATAGTTTTTTATGCCCCCGTAAAGGAAGTTTCGGGAGTATATAGTTTTTGTCCGTCCGTCTGTCTGTTTGTCCGCAAAATGTTTAACTTTTGATTTAGTGGAGCTATGACTTTCTTAGTTCACATGTGTAGTCCTGTCTTTGGGTACCACCAAATTTGACCTTTTGACCTCATCTTGGAGTTTGACCCACTTTTACACAAAAATAATTCCAAAGTTTTACTTTTGCTATATCTTTTGAACAGTAGAAACTAGGACAATTATACTTCGCACATGTATTATAGAAAAAATACACATTTTACTTACTTTAGAATGTATTCTGTAATCACAAATACAATGCAAGTAAAAAGTAAGCAAAATACAAATAGGAAAACACAGTTATTAAAGTTCTGCTGTGGCTGCAAGGGCTGGCGGGAAAAAAGTCTCTGTAAATCTAAATTTAGGATCGGGAAATCCCTTAGTAACTCGTACATAAGTTCATTTGTTACTACTGTATTCTTTGTGGAAAGATCTTTCATTGGATACAAACAACCTTGACCTTTTGACCTTGACCTTGAAGATTTCCGTACTTGTGAAAAAACTTAGACTTTGGTCATAACTTTTGAACAGTAAGGGTTAGGGCTGTCATACTGTATACATGTAATCCTTGTGAGCAGACCCTTTATTCCATACCAAAAACTTTGACCCTTTGATCTTGACATTGGAGTTTGACCTACTTTTAAAAAGCAAACATTGACCATAACTTTTAAATGGTAAGGATTAGTGCTTTCATACTTTACAGATTTAATCTTTGTTTAAAGACCCTTCATTTGATAGCATAACCTTTGACCCTTTGACCTTGATCTTGGAGTTTGACCTACTTTTTAAAATTTTTAAACTTGGCCATTACTTCTGAAGAGTTAGAGCTAGAGCTTCCATTCTTGAAATATGAATTCTTTGTGGTACATGTGTAAGACCTTTTATTGGATACCAATTGCCTTGACCTTTTGACCTTGACGATTTTCATACTTATTAAAAACTATAACATTGGCCATAAATATTGAAAGGTAAGGGCTAGAGATCTCATACTTCACATATGTAATCCTTGTGAGAAGACCCTTCATTGGATACCAATAACATTGACCTTTAGGCCTTGTCCTGTAAGTGTGACGTTCTTTTTAAAATGTTTAACTTTGGTCATAACTTTTGAAGGCTAAGGCTAGGGCTTCCATACTTCACATAAGTATTTTTGTGCCAAGACCTTTCATTGGATACCATTTACCTTGATCGTTTGATCTTGACATTGCAGATGTTCAAACCTCTAAACTTTAACCTTGGCCTACTTTCATATTTCATAATTATTGTATTTCCAATGAGAACAGCCTACTTTGGGTACCAATATATTAAATTTGCATGTAAGAAAAGTTTAATCTACGCTTTGTTGCCATCTGTGTTTCACAAATACATCTTGTTTAATGTTCGTTATGGTCACCTTTTCAATTGTAAGTTAAACTGCATTTCAAGAGTAAAATTTCCTGTATCATCTAAAATTGTGTCAAAAAACATACCAATCTACAACAAAATAATAAAACGTCCTGGTCTATACTTATGTGTATGAACTTCCATACCTTGGGATGAGTATTTTCATTTTTCCACTGTTGATACAGCTAGAACAAACATTGGCATATGGTATGATAAAACAATTATTTTGTTGTATCAGTTTATGCTAAAGTATATGAAATTGTTAAAGTGTTTTTAATTTTTTCGTCGTTGAAAAAATAGGTAGCAGAAGAAAATATAGACCATCCATGAACTGTGTTACATATTATATTCAGTCTTAAAGATGAAATAATGCAGAAAGCATTGTTTTGATTTTACTGAGAGCTAAGAACTTTCGAGGTGTCATTATTTTCTTATGTTGGTCAAAAGAATTAAGTAGTTAAAATAGATTACTATGAAACGTTTGTTTTTAGCCATTATTACAAAGTCCATGCACATTATTTCCGTGTTTTGTTAATATCATGCATTCCGTTCAGTTTGTGCCTTGTATATCCAAGGTCTTTAGAAATGTGGGATAGGTAGATATGAAAGAAACTTTACTATGGACAAAGGTATATTAGTACTCCAGTTGAGTATACTTTTACGGTAATATATGTATTTTCATTTTTTGTCGGAAAACGTATAATTATCATAAATATTACAGACACATTCATCACAAAAAATATATGTACATTCAGCTAAACCTCAGTTTGTTAATAGAATGCGTCTTGTATGGTGAAAGTAGCTTCTTATTTTTAAATCTGTATGTACGGTATACAATATAAAGCAAATATCTGAAATAAGCATAAAAAGACAAACTAAAAATGTTTGTTTGGTTTTTATTTGTAGTATTTCACAAACTAGTTCTTTGGATAGAGGTTTTGTATTATTACAGTTGTTACTTGAAACTTTTATTCTGATTAACATGTATAGCAAAACCTTTGATCCAAAGTTTATATTCTATATATCTAGATGACCTATCAGTTGGAAAATCTGCTATTCAAAGACCATTGTGGACCTGTTCAACACCTGAACATTGTCGTCGTTATGAAGCCGCAAATGCAGTTGATAGGAATTTTGATACTTGCATGAGAACGGACGGTGTTGGCTCAAGCTCAACATATCGACACGTCCAGTGGCAAGTGGACCTCGGTGGAATTCGCAGTATATACAACATTAGAATTCTATTTAAAAGCTACGGCGTAGAAACAGGTAATATTCGTCATTAATATAATTCATTAAGGCCCTTTGAGTATATATATATTTCCATGTGTAGACGACCATATTGTGTCTTATTTGGATGCCAAGATTAAATGAATTTAAAAAAATGTCTCAAGAAAAACTTTTTAAAAAAATCATGATGACTTTTATAGTCTTCCTCGATTTTAACAAGTGTAAATATTTAATTTTGTCCATCTGTTTGCATGTTTGTTTGTCTGTTCTCCAACTGATATTTACTCATTTTGAGCCTGCAACCATTAATCTTGGATTGACACCTCAAAACCAAACTTTGTCAAAATTGTTCGTTAAGAATATTCACAAAAATTTCTACCCAATTATGTCGAAGTGATGATCTATGACATTGATAGTTGGTACACTAGTTAGCCCCTTTTGGGTTTGTATAATTGCACATATGCATGTTCAAATCTTGATCAAATATATTTGATTCATGTATCTGGTAGTTCAAAGAACTTTTAAACTGTTATAGTGTTTTTTATTTGAATTGTTTCACTGATTTTTAGGGAAGAAAGATTATGGTTGTGAGTACTTCTACATGTAATTGTGACTTGTTACAATTTCATTCAAATATCCTGTGTTTGGGCTTTAAACAAATAGAAGTTCATTCTAGTTTATTATCAAATGGTCATATTATGATCTTACGTGTATACTTTTCTCAACGTTAAAGAACACAAAACCTGGAATTTCTCTTCACAAACTTCACAAAATTGCTTTCAATATCCCTCATCTAGCATTTGCAGGGTTTCAAAAGACCTATTAAATTTTATCAGAAAATGTTCTCTTTCATCTTTCTTAAATCATAAATTTAAAACTCCAATGAACACAACTGGTATCGGGGCTATGCTCTCAACCTATTCTTTTTAATTTGAAATATTTAAAATATTAATGATTTCTGCACACAAAAAAAATCAGTGAGAAGGGAGTGATGTTTTGAATTTTCTTTGCATGTTCTTATCTCGATGTAGAATTTCGGCAACGGGGTCGTTTTGCGGGATTTGCGCTCTACCTGTCAAACACGACAAATAAAGATGATGGTTATCTGTGCTATAAAGATGGACCAGAGTTACCTCCATTAGATTTCAACACCAAGTGTATAAAACATGGACGGTATTTGACATACTACAATGAAAGAGTGTATGACCAACTTTATCCTGTTGGATATGCAAGCATGGTAGTCACTGAACTATGTGAAGTCATGATTTATGGTAAGCAGATGATTTAAGGAAATTATCAGCTAAAAAATCTTTAAAATTATCAAGGTTAGGTATGTAAACTTGTTTTGGTTATAATCTAAATTGCACAATCGTATTCTCAATCTAAACAGAAGATATTCAACATCAATTCCCATCTCCTTTTATTTTCACAAATGTTCATTTACATTCTTTTGTACAGAAATATAAAACGCAACTCCAATAAATGCAAAAACAATATCACCGTCCGCTCATGAACTGTTTTTTCAACCAGCACTCGGGATAAACTTTAAAAATGATCCACCAATTTAGTAACATTATAATTAACATCTTAAAAAAAGATGCAAATAATGAATAAGAAATTCAATGTTATAAATAAAGTCATCTTCATATTTATTCTTGGAGGAAAAGCATTTTTGTTCATAATTGACTCATGCCATTACTGTCAGGACTTATTTTTCTTCGCATTATACTAATATAATGCATTTGCCAATAATTGAAATTTCTTTCAAAACCTTCCACGAGGTTGTGAAAATTCGGCTGTTTATGGCTCAAACTGCAACGTATCTTGTCCAAGTAAATGTCAAGAACAAAGATGTGACTTAATAAATGGTACGTGCTTAGGATGTGTACCGGGCTGGAAAGGAGATTTCTGTAATCAATGTAAGTATAAGCTTACCTTTAAATACATTTTAAAATAAGAAATGATTTTATGGTAGAAAATAAGCATAAATATGTTGATGTCATTTAACAGCGTGTCTAGCAGGAACATTCGGTCTTGAATGTAACGGCAGTTGTTCGGGACAATGCAAAGATAATGAGACGTGTGATCATGTGACTGGATTATGTCCTAATGGCTGTGCCCATGGGTGGACCGGATCCTTTTGTCAACGTCGTGCGTATACATATATGTATCAGTACAAACTGATAGCCAACATATCCATGCGTAATGATGTGAAAACATTTAAAATTAGTAACATCGACCTTGAATTAGCAATTAATTCATAAACATTGTGGAACAGCTATCAATTGTTTTTATGCCTCCGTAATCGAAGGCGCATATACTAATTGCCCTGTCTGCCTGGTTGTCCGCAAAAAAAAATGCCCATAATTTTTGACTGCGTGTGGCTATGATTTTCATATTTCAAAAATGTATTCCATGTATCAAGACCTTGCTTTGGGTACCATAAAATTTTACCCTTAGACCTTCACCTTAGAGGTTGACAAATCTTTGCTCAAAATTGTCAACTTTTACAATATTTACTTTTACTTTGGCCATTACTTTTTAACAATAAGGGCTAGTACTTTCATTCGTAGCATACGTAATCCTTGTGACAAGACTTTTAATTGGAAACAACAACCCTAATCCTTTAATTTGACCTTCACCTTCGAGTTTGACCTATTTTTAAACACATTAATCTTGGTCATAACCTTTGAACGGTACTAGGGCTTTCATATATCACAATCGTTTTTCATGTGAGAAGGCCTTACTTTGGGTACCAAGTGAACATATTTTATGTGCATTTGATAAAGTTTAACATTTGCTTGGTTGCCATTCAGAGGCATCAGTGTTTCACAAACACATTTTGTTTCTTACGTACGCTTATTTCAACAAAAAACCTTCAATACTGCAAAAGAGTTAATGAAGTGTTTAAAAGTAAACATAGTAAAAATATAGTTTAGAGACAAAATATTTTTTCATTATTATTATATTTTGGTCAATCATGTCATTTGAATATTTTTCAACAATTCGCTAGAATGTCCTCTGGGAACATATGGCAGAAACTGCATGTACAACTGCAGTGGGCACTGTCTACAAAATACCTACTGTGAAAGAGAAAATGGACAATGTTTGAATGGATGTGACACTGGGTATATAGGAAAAATTTGTCAGACTGGTATGAAAAATAATGAATTTGAAATTAGCACATAAATACAAACTGTACACTGTAAATTGATTGAAATAACATGTCGGTGCAAAATGTAAGCTGGTACATACATTGTTTATTTACATGAAAGTTACTTTATTTCACAGTCTTATAGTAAATCTTCACCTATATTATATTACTAGTATTCATTGTTAACTGTACAGTAGGCAAACCTAAGTAAGTTACTTTTTAACCCAAAATATTCTGTTTAAAAAAGTAGGGATATAAAATCAAAATAAATATATATTTTAAAAACGAAATATTTAAAACCAGGAAAAAATTAAATCCTATGAAGAAAATTAATAATTATTCATTAATAAACCGTATTCAAAGCGATTTGAACTCATTCTTATCAAAGTTTGTCCTCAACATACGTTTGGGAGAGACTGTAAAAATAACTGCAGTGGGCATTGTCTGGATGGGAAAACCTGTCGTCACAATGATGGTGTGTGTAACAATGGATGTATAGCGGGTTACATAGGAATACGATGTGAGAAAGGTAAGTTTTGAAACTGAACCCTTAATCTAAGATGAAATATATAGAGATAACGAAAAGTCTTCAACCTCAAAAACCAATTAAACAATACTTATCAGAATCACAGCATTTTAACACGGACCTCATAAACACCAGAGGTGAGAGCAGGTGCAGTCAATGCGTAAGCATCCCCCGTCGACCGGTCACATTCGAAATGTGCTCGTTGTCATGATCTGGATAAAATCCGTCAACAATTAAGTATGTAAATAATGGCCCTCTGAGTATCTAAGAGAATATTTATTAGTGGCTTGGTCAAAAAGGGATAAGTCTAATAATACTGGTGATGTCTTTATTGATGGTAACATCAACGTAAGAACTGTAAAACAAATACAAAATTTATCAGTAATAATTAACAAGAAAATCTAAATTACACAAAGTACACAAACATGCACTAAGATGACCCTTTGGTATACATACACATGTAGACTAGAGTTCAATATTCAATAATATCAGCTAATTGACTAGTAATATGTAATATGAATAATATCTATACGTTTAATTTAATT